GAATATGGCGGGTGGCGTAGAACATGCCAAGCAAGTTCCAAATTTTGTTTCCTATGTAATTCTTGTTGTATGAAGCCTTCCATTGTTATGGAGGATAACATAAAAAGAAAAAGAATACATTGACTGTTTCTCTTTTTTCTGTTAATTCTCGTTAGATATTTTTTATTTTTAGTGATTTTAAAAATCAGATTTCTTTCTTACATGCAACAACAGACTTAACTGTATAGATAGAGATCCTAGTTTGCTTATGGAAAAAAACTGTATTCAGTGCAGTTGCAAGATTATTTAAATATTGTCATCATGTTTTTATTAGTTTGAGTATATTTGATGTGAAAGACAGAAGGAATGAAAGAAGCACACAAATATATTATATGAATTTGTTCATCCCTATATATTAATGTATACAAAATGTCATAGAATAAATACACACACATGTTTAGGCTTGGTTTGGTTTGTTTTACGGCATATCAAACTCAATGAGTTATTTAATGCCGATAACATTTTTATTGCTGGTAATATTTTTGTCAAAAATGTACTGCTGCTAATATTTTGATTTTTTTTCAAAAATGTATTACTGGTAATAATTCTTTTACAAAAATATTTTGCTGGTATTAAACCTATTTTTACACTTTCATAGTGTTTTGACCCCTGTTTGGAGTTAACTATTTGCCCATAGCTGGGACCCTGACAGGTTCTACCACACCGGGTCAGAGTGGACCTGGGAACACCAACAATTAAGAGGTTGTTTCACATTTCTCAAAACATCCTGATCGGGGCCTTGCTGTTGGGCGTTGTTTATCGTCTTACTCATGACGCACATGTTTAGATAATAAAAGTTTCACGACCCAATACATTTACCCAAAAAATACCAAATATCAAAATATTAAGAGAATCCTTTCTTGGTCGAATTGCCAAATTTTCAGCATTCTCGAGCATATATATATATATGTATATGTGTGTGTGTATCTGTGTGTGTGTATGTGTGTTTTGGACAATAAAAATATTAATTAAAAAATTAAAATTTTCAGACATACTATGTTGTATATTAATAATTTTTTTTGTTTTATTATTTCAATTAGGTTACTCGACCAGTTTCGGACAGTATGACCATTATCAGGAGGAAAAAAGCTCTGCTTGTTAATAACAGTGAACTACAGAAGTGAATAACTGTCTCTGCAGAAAGTTAATTTCATATATATATATATATATATATATATATATATATATATATATATATATAAATTAATTGATTTAAAATATGTTTTTTTTCCGTTACACAGTTCTAACCATGTTTCAAAAATGGAAGCTAAAAGCTCCGAATTTAATTTTGTAATTAAATTAAAGACATTAGTTCCATTCCATCCTCAATCGAATTTTGGAGTAACTTTTAAAATCACTGGGTTTTAAATACACAGCTAAAATCATAATTCATATTTCTAAGGTTACACATAAATCTCTTTTTCTAGACAGGGGTGTCTAGGTGTTCAATATGTCTATATTTTAATGTATCAGTTATTGTTACTTTTGGTAGTGGATAGGGGTGTATTTTTCAATGAAATCTAACTTCCTAAGTTAGATTTCATTGACAAATACACTGTGTAGCGGAAAAAAACCATATTTTAAATCAATTAATTTATAGTATTAATGCTCTGTAAATTTACATCGAGCACTATTTTGTAAAAATAAAAATATCTATAAGAACACCGAATTATATATCTTACTGTTCTTTCTTTATATATATATATATATATATATATATATATATATATATATATATATATATATATATATATATATATATATATACTGGCCTGAATGTCCGAGAAATAATACTGTTTATTATAAACAGAGCATTTACTTAAACATTTGTGTAGATATAAATAACGCATAACAATAAAATATATGGGAATAATTGTCGGCCTTGGTCCATTTCGTAGTGTGTGACTTCATTTGCTTACGTTAACATACGTTTCGAGTAGATATAGTCAGGTGAGCAGTAAACTTTCAACATCTGAAGTCTATGGTTTGGTTGAATTTGTTTAGCGGTATATCAACACATCTATTTCGAGGGAAATCATGGGAAATTTGTAGTTTACAAGCAGTAAAATTGACCTAGCTAATCAGACACCCCTTCATAGTTAAACTGGTATAGCAATTCAGGCTATATGACGGTTCCGTGTAGGTTACAGGTTCGGTTCCTGTCGGAGGCCGAACCTTTTCTAAGAAATTTATTGGAAATTCAGTCCGGTGAATGTTGTTAATACTGTTTATTATAAACAAAGCATTTACTTAGTCTATGTAAATAACGTATAAAAAATAAAATATATGAAAATAATTGTTGGATTTAGTTTATTTCGTAATTTTTTATTTTATTTATATATATATATATATATATATATATATATATATATATATATATATATATATATATATATATATATATATATATATATATATATATATAAGATTAAGTTATGAAGAACTTGGTAATCCGTATGGGTAATTCCAAGGAGGATGAAATCCTGAGAGCTCAATGTAAATCCAGTGCTAATATTTTAAAGAACAACAGACCACTTTAAGGTTCCATTATGATAATTTATTTCATCAGAGTCCCTTTAAAGGACGCCGGATCATCAGATAGCACTTCCAAAAATGAAATGAAACGAAAAATTCTTCCTTCTCCCCTCCCATTTCAATATATCACTTCCGTTAAGTTAACCGTTATATAGGCCATGGTCTGGCCACTCCCCTCCCCCAATACTAAGTATGATTGAGAGAGATATGACATTAATCCCTCCCTAAACTCTACGATGTCTCTCTAACTACTCCTTTTACATTCTCTGTTAAATTACAAAAACTTACATTACCCATCAATTTTAATTTCATTTTTCGTTTCATTTTTGGAAGTGCTATCTGATGATCCGGCGTCCTTTAAAAGGACTCTGGTGAAATAAATTATTATAATGGTACCTTAAAGTGGTCTGTTTTTCTTTAAAATATATATATATAATTACGAAATGGACTAAATCCGACAATTATTTTCATATATTTTATATATAAGTTTCGTAAAAGACGAGTAACAAGGAGTTGTAATTAAGCTCCTTATTTAGTCTTCCTTGTGTTCGTACAAGTGTTTTCTTTTCTGGACACAAAGTGAGTGAAAAATACAAGGAAATTAAATTGAAAGCTTAATCCTGCGTATGACGATAACTACAACCGGCATCTGAGCCTCCCATCGGAATATTTGAGGTTTTTGAAGACCGTGGAACCATCTTTTAAGTACTGTTGTTCCCAGGTTCACCATGACCCGTGGTAGTAGCACCTGTTAGAGGTACCAGCTATAGACCCCAAAACTAAACAAAACACCGTGAAGGTGTAAAAGCTTATTTATGTAGTGGAATTACTGGCAATATATTTTTATATAAAAAATATACCAATAGTACATATTTAGAGCAAAATGACCAACAATACATTTTGTCTGTAGTTGAAGGCATACAGTTACGTTCAAAGTATATTTCCTTGGAGCCATAAAACTGTGTTCAAGATATTTAGATTTCAGCATTAAATAACCCATCGATGTGTTGATATGCCGCTAAACAAATTTAACCAAACCATACACTTCAGATGTTGAAGGTTTACTGCTCACCTCACCATAGCCGAAAATCCTCGATACTTGTGCGAATGTCATCAAAACCTTTCATTAATGTCTTGAATGATACTCCATAGTCAGGGGTCGGCAACCTACGGCACGCGTGCCACACATGGCACGCCAAGCAATTTTCAATGCTGTCATGTCTCTTCCTCTATTTCTTAATGGCTCTCCATCCCAGTAATTTTCATGGTAGATGTTCCGGTGAACTATATTCCTTGGTTCTAACAGTTCAAAACTTTACAGCTAGGAGCCGCTATATTATGTACACTCATCCTTATCCTCTTCATATTCCATTTGTGAGGAGGAATTCCCTCTCAGCTAGCTTCTTCCCCAGAACTGTTGCATTGTGGAACAGACTCCCAAGAGAATGCTTCTAAGGTTACTAAAATCTTAACCTGTTCAAGTCAAGAGTTAACTGTTATCTATCCTACATAACCTGACACGCACCCTTCGCTCCTTCCCTGTACACATTTAAAATATTTCCATCTAGTTACACTTATTAATTTAAATTAATTTAAATGAACAGTTTATTTCAGAATTACCTTAAGGTTACCCTGATCTATAGAACTACCTGAAGGTTACCGTGATCTACTAGGGCGGTTAGCCAATCCTTATTGCAGACGCTTGCTCAGGCACATTTGTGTTTATTCACCCCCCCAGAGCCCACCTATGGTTTATACTGAAACAATATTGAGCAGACCTTAGTTACAGATTCTGGGAAAGAGCGTGTTATCTAGCGTGTTCAACAATTTGGACAAGACCAGCACACTCAAACCCTCGGTCACGATGACTTGTGACTTCGTGCTAACACAGCTATCGACGGCCACCAATTTCACTCAGGTATGGTTTCCAGGCCCCATTCAGTCCGATAACATGAGGAAGTCTCTTTCTTGACAAATCGACCATGGTGAGATTCGAACTCGGGCCTCATGGTCAGAATGCGAACGTTCTAACCAATCCCGCCTGATCTATAAGCCCTTGAAAAAGATAATATAATAATAAGGTATAATATCCGAAACGTTGTGATTATTTAAAAACCCCGAGTGTAAATAAATAAAATAAAAAGTATTTTTTGTCATGTAGTTGATTGATCGTTTTTTACGGCTTATCAACCCTTTTTAAAGCCAGAAAAATACATTTTCTTTAAATTGTAAGAATTTATTTTTGGAGATAATAATGGTTTAGTGATACAAGTCTTACTAATTAACCCATAACTGGAGCGAAAAGAGGTGGATTCATCCCTTTCCCAAGGTTATTTGCGCATAAGTGAACCCAACGCGAATTGGAACTCAGTTCCTCGATTAACAATTCGGAAGCGCTATCTATTGCACCACCTGCACACCCAAGCTAACAGCACCTGATATTCCCAAGCGGTCAATCATCTAAGTACTGACCAGATTCAACGTCGTTTATCTTCGGTGATCCTATGGCAACCGGTGTTTCAACGAGATATGGCAGTAAATTTGTCGTGTCGTTTAGTGCAAAACTCTAATTATAAAAGTGAATTTAAAAATAGTCTTTATACAAAAGACCCATTAATGATTAAATATTTTTCTATAAAATGTAAATGTCACTCCCTCAAGAAATAAATATATTTTCTCCAAAGAATATTCTCTGTATAGTTATTTATTAATATTTTCTATTTTCTTTTTATATTGGAAGGTTTCTACTTTGTAATATATTCACAATAGGAAAAGAGAAAAGTCTTTAATTATCTATCGATTGTTTGCCTGGGCTGAAAATTAGTCCATAAGGGGAATTTGACTTAACCCTTTGAGCCCTGACCACCGCTTTACCGGTGGTAGAGAAAAATGATGTAATGCGCAGCCACTGGTTAAACAGTGGTAGATAAAAATGACTTAATGCCCAGCTACCTGTTGAAAGGTGACTAAACACATGTAACTATTTTTATATCTACCCTTAAACATTACATACAAATTCTTTGCTAATTTTGATTCAGGAGCTCAGAAGGGTTAAAATTGTTCAGGAAAGCAAGGCTCAAGGGATTAAAAATGAATGAAGTAAAAATGGCACTTACCTCCATCGCCATAGGTTACTTTATGGTCAATATTAATAAATTTATATTTTACCGGTTGTTTTTATGAAGGAAAAAGAGAACCATTTTTGAATAGTTTAGAAGCAACATTTAAATCTTAGGTTGAATCATAAATAATTTCGGTTGCTTTGTTGATTTTTTTAGTGGCATATCAACACCTCTATGGGTTATTAAATGTCGAAATCTAAATATTTTGAAGAAAATCTTATGGCTTCAACTACAGATAAATGTATTGTTGGAAATTCTAATTACAAATATGTATTTTCTATACTTTCATAGTGTTTTGTTTTTGTTTGGGGGGTTCACTTTTTGACCATAGCTGGGACCCTAACAGGTGCTACCACCCCGGGCCAGGATGGGCCTGGGAACAACAGCAATTAAGTAGTGGTTCCATGTTCCTCAAAATCACCAATCTCCCAATCAGAAGCCTTGCTGCCAGATGAAGTTTATCGTCATACTCAGGACTATAAATAATTTCGGCTTTTGTTAGTTAACTTTAATCTTCATAAAATAAAGTACTTTACATTTTATTCAGTTGGTAGTCAATTTTTCCTTTTTTCTCTTTTTTCCTTTTCCTTGCGTCTGAATAAATTGATCTCCATTTATTAAAAAAAAAAAAAAATGCTGGTCTGAAGAGATGGGTGTAAAAGGTCCACGAAATAAATTATAACCAAATGGATATTTAAGTTTTCTGTATTCATTATTATATTGCTCTGTTCTTATATTGAGCTTTCTTTGGGTTAATATGCTCCTTGGAATTATCTCGAATCATCAATTGTTATTATATATATATATATATATATATATATATATATATATATATATATATATATGTTGCGGATTTGAATTAGTCCACAACAAAGAAAAGGGAAAAAAATGTTTAAATATAAAAATATAAGATACTTTTTTTTTATTTTCGTGTTTTCTTTTAGAACTAAACTTGTTTTCCAAGATGAAAAGAAATTAGAAAAAATGTGACTTCTTTGTGTGTATGTGTGAAAAAGAAGAGGCGCAGGAGAAAGTGAGGAGGAAAGTGTAAGTATCCCGTAGCTTGAGAAGGAAGACAGGTGAAAATCTACGTGAATTTCGTTTAATTCAAGTGCCGTCTGTTGTCTCCTGTGTCTCCTTCTGGTTTGTCTGTCTGGAAAACTTTGCTTAAATACCCTTCAAAGGGATCACGAAGCATGTTTTTCTTGTTGGCGGGAAAGCGACCCGTTGGATGAAAAAATGCTAAATATTTATTTTTGAAGCATTCATTTTTTTTTAACCGGAACAATACGTAATCGTTCGACTCAGAAACCATTGTTTGTCATTTGATGTTTGATCATGGTGTTTTTTCCATGGTCGCTTCACATATTCACCATTATTCGCAATGACTTGTTGTCACTTATGAGGCTATGTGTTAACAACGTGGCCTGTTTAGTTCTATTGCTGTAAGGTGGGAACAGGCAGACGGTGTATATTTTCTCTGTTTATTCAATGATCTTAAAAACTTTCGGTTTTATATAATCATCAATAAAATTGGCCAGAGTGACACATTTTTGTTAATAGAGCCGACAGGTTTATACATAATTTGATTTGCTTTATTTGAGTCGAATTTAATTGGCGAGTAAATATTTATATACCAGGATATTGTCGATTTGAAAAGTATACGTATAAACTAAACTGTGTAAGTAATAAGCAGAAAAACACTTCGACAAAATGCGAACCAAGCTTTTAGCTTCAAAATTGGTTATATATTAAGATTCAGCTAACAAAAGGCTCTAGGGTACATTGGGAGTTATGATTACAATTCCCCTAAGCGATTAGAGATACTAGACGTAGGAGAAGTGGTTTGTCTTGGAAAAGATAGTCTGACAGAGCACAACTTTCTCCAGGCTGATTTGAATTCAGAGTTTTCCTTCCGCTAGATTGGTTGCCAACCAGTGCTCCAGTCTGTTCGGTTATTTACCTATAGCTAGTGGGGGAAAGGTATGAATCCGTCTCGATTCATACCTTTCCCAAGGGTATTTACGTGTAAGTGAATATAAGGAAAATGACTTGAATTCGAACTCGGCTTTCCAATTTCTCATTCCGACCCATTATCCATTACACCAACGCGCGTCCGTACAAAATACTAATGATTTATAAGGTGTGGGATATGAATGAAAGAAAAGGAGGTAGTGTAGATTATCAGGATATGGAGGATAGATAAAGATTGACCCGTGACGTGGAGAGGTTAAGATTGTAGCATTATCACGAGAGTCTGCTCTACAATTGACATACAAAAGAACTGGCGTTAATTCGCCTCCATGGACATAAATGTAAAGGAGTGAAGTGTTGGCATTAAAGAATGGAAGTAATTTGAACATTTGCCATGGAAATTGCGACGTATATTTGAATCATGTATTATGCTGGCATTTGTTTTTACAGTGAGAGTAACCGTTTTCAATGCCCCGGTGACATTCGAGTTAGAAGGTTACATTGGGAGGCTATTTGTGTTTATAAGTGAGGGAGATAACGATTAACCCTAGCCTTGAATAAGTCAAGATTATTGTTGTGGTAAACCCTCCTACAGTAGAATGAACTCTTCCTCCTCTCATAAATACTAACGTGAAGAAACGGTTGGGACCGTAGACGCAGTTTCTGACTGTGTGCGACTTCTGTCGAACTCTCTGCTTTGGCAGAGAGGAACCCGGACAAAGCTATGCCGAAGGGCAGAGTTTCGTCCGAAGAGGTAGACAGACCCTGAACCCGTTTATATCAAGGGAATATTTTTGGCTGAGCCTACGGGCTCGGAGAACCCATGGTAAACTCGGCCTTGTGCCACATACAACCCTTGTGGGGCGGGGCTGTTAAATATAGTGTAGACGCAGAGTTAACCTACCGTTCGGACGTACACCTCTATCTGATTATTACTAACACTCTTGCTTTGTATATATCTGTTATTTCAGTACACTTGTTCAATCCTACCTTCGTCTTCCGTGTCTTTCTTTCTGGCCCTTAAACAGGCCACACCAATCATAGTGATCGGATAAACATCCTGTTGGGAGCCGATTCTGCAGGACAGTGGTTCACAGGAACAAGCAGCTCGTGTGGGACTGACTTCTCACCGATGGAATATGGAGAGAATGCGGGTGGTTTTCTACTATGTAAATGGCATGGCGTGTTCTTGGCGTGAAGGTGTGCCTCGACGGGACCAAGGAATGTAGTTCGACCGAACTCTTTCCGTGGAAGTAGCGGTAGAGCAGCGGGAGGCTTGCACATCTCGCCTGTGGGATAGGGGTTGAATGGTGAAAAATAATTCATCACCCACAAGGGCTCGATCAGGCCCAAAATGGAGTATTGTTGACATATCTGGGCAAGACTGAAGAATGAGGTCCTTGCACAGATATGTCAACAATACTCCATTTTGGGCCTGATCTGGCTCTTAGAGGTAGAGGATAAGCAGGAGGATTCAGGTACATGGAGCCGGCCATTTTACCTGCATTCTAAGCAACGGATCGTATGGCATATTTTATAATATTGTAACTGGAATGAAAATGGGCCGAGTGGTTAGAACGTTCGCCTTCTGACCATGAGACCCGGGTTCGAATCTCACCATGGTCGATTCCTCAGGAAGGAGACTTCTCGATGTTATCGGACTGGAGGGGTCAATACTAGCGCGCGTCACCTTTGGAAAGTGCCTGAAAACCATAACACAGGTTAACCCAAGTCTTGTGAGTGAAACTGAGTAGACGGAACCCTTAGAGTCACAAGTCATCGTGGCCGAGAGCTTGAGCATGCTGGCCTGTTATGGATTACTATATCTAGAGTATACTCCTAACTCATTTGCAAAATTGTCGGCGTGACATCGTCGATATTGATTCATTGAAGTGGAACGTAACTGAAGCTTAGAATTAAATTCTTTTTGACACTATCTGCAAAGCTACTGCATCATGGTTACACGTTTACAACTTGAACATTCAGTCAAAAATTTCGAACATTTATGAACCATGATAGGTAACTAAATTTATTTCTGAATTCACCGCTTTTCATTGGGTACCCTGTATATGGCAGTAAATGAAGGACACTTTCTTCATAGATTTCTTAACAAATGAAGAGACAGCAGGAATGTGGATGCTGAGCATGAACAAAGTAAATAGCAAGATTAGTTTTAAAAAAACTGGAAAGAAATAGGACACTTGCGCTTAGAATCCGAAAGAGTTGAAATTTATAGGGCACAAATTGAGGAAAGAGAAGTTGGAAAACTAGACACTCACAGGACGTACTGAAGGCAAGAGAGACAGTCGGAAAGAGCGAGTAACCTACGTAAAGAGTTTCTGTGAATGGGTGGTGGAACAATGACTGAGAGAGATAGTAAGGAAGCAAATATTTGCTTAAGGTTACAAGGAATAGGAAGATTTGGAGGGACATCACCGTCTGTGGACTGAAGAGGCACGGCACATGAAAGAAGAAAAACCTGTATTTTTTTTTTAGTACTAGCATATACATTTTTTTTTAATCAATTCACCCCAAGCAAGGCGATAATGTCACAAAGACGAAAGGGCATAATGGAAGTGAAAGAGAGGGAAACGACTTTAGAAGTAATCGGAAACCCAAAAGATCAGGGAAGAATGGGAGCCGGACGGTAGGCGAACTTATCTACTTCTCTATATTAATGACAAACTGTTGATAATATTTTTTTGTGATGACAACGAATACTCGTTGCCACTTTCGTAATGCTCGTTGTAGTAGAGAATTTGTAATCGCAGATATATAACTATAGTAACGCCGTTGAACAATACCGGTGTCAGACGCCTTCGAATAACACTCGCACTAATAGTACTTGCTAGATAATACTCGCTGTAAAAGTAACCATCGAAAAGAGATGAGTACAGAGAATAGTATAGTGAATAGTATAGAGAATAGAGGATAGTGTAGAAAGAGTGATCCTTATAGTAATGGAGGATAGAATAGAAATGGTGATCCCTATTGCAATAGAGGATAGAAGAGAAATGGTGATCCGTATAGTAATAGAGAATAGAAGAGAAATAGTGATCCGTATAGAAATGGAGGATAGAATAGAAATGGTGATCCTTATAGTAATGGAGGATAGAATAGAAATGGCGATCCGTATAGTAATAGAGGATAGAATAGAAATGGCGATCCTTATAGTAATGGAGGATAGAATAGAAAAGGTGATCCTTATAGTAATAGAGGATAGAATAAAAATGATGATCCTTCTAGTAATAGAGGATAGAATAGAAATGGTGATCCTTATAGTAATGGAGGATAGAATAGAAATGGTGATCCTTATAGTAATGGAGGATAGAATAGAAATGGTGATCCGTATAGTAATAGAGGATAGAATAGAAATGGTGATCCGTCTAGCAATGGAGGATAGAATAGAAATGGTGATCCTTATAGTAATGGAGGATAGAATAGAAATGGTGATCCGTCTAGCAATAGAGGATAGAATAGAAATAGTGATGTGTATAGGAATAGAGGATAGAAGAGAAATGGTGATCCGTATAGCAATAGAGGATAGAATAGAAATGATGCTCCTTATAGTAATAGAGGATAGAATAGAAATGGTGATCTGTATAGCAATAGAGAATAGAATAGAAATGGCGATCCTTATAGTAATAGAGGATATAACAGAAATGGTGATTCGTATAGTAATAGAGGATAGAATAGAAAATGTGATCCTTAGAATAATGGAGGATGGAATAGAAATGGTAATCCTTATAGTAATGGAGGATGGAATAGAAATGGTGATCCGTATAGCAATAGAGGATAGAATAGAAATGGTTATCTGTGTTCAAACTACAGTGTCGGTAGCGACACTTTATTCCTATATAACAATATTGTATATTATTTTTTACACGTATTATTTTTGTTTTGCTTAATGAGTATGTCAATGGGCGATTTGTCGAAAGGCCTTAGATTCTGATTAAACTTACAGGTATACCAACAAACGGGCGTCCTGGGTAAGACGATAAAGTGCATCCAGCAGCAACAGGAGGTTTGAACTACCTCTTAATTGCTGGTGTTCCCAGGTCCACCTTGACCCCGGGGTGGCACCAGGGGTAGCACCTGTTAGAGCCCCAACTATGGGCAAATAGTTTACCCCCCAAACTGGGGTCAAAACCTTATGAAAGTTTAAAAATAGTTTTTAATAGCAGCAATAAATATTTTTTATGAAAAATTATCACTAACAATACATTATTACCAGCAATACATTTTTGAAGAAAATAAATATTACCAATACATTTTTTAGGAAAAATATCAGTAATACATTTTTGAAGGAAAAAGTATTACCAGCAGTCCAATATTTTAAATAATTATCACCAACAATACATTACCAGAAATACATTTTTGAAGAAACAAATATTACTCGCAATATATTTTGGAAGAAAAATATTACCAGCAATACATTTTTTGAAAAAATATTACCTGCAATCAAAATCTTACCGGCATTAAATAACCCACTGAGGTGTTGATATGCCGTAAAACAAAACAAACCAAACTATAAGCTACAATATTGATGATTAAAAAAAAAAAAAGACTGGAATCTTATTGCCATGGCAAATACGATAGGAATAGGTTTTGATATCAGCAATATGTTTTTGTAAAAAGTTACCAGCAATAAATTTTTGAAGATTTTTTCGTAAAAATATTAACGGCAATACATCTTTGAAATTTTTTTTTACCAGCAATGAATTTTGGAAGAAAAATATTACAGCAATATATTTTAAAAAATATTACCAGCAATGCATTTTTGAGCGAAAAAATACCAGCAATACATTTAAAAAAAAAAAAAAAAAAAAAAATTACCATTTTTGAAAAAAAATATTACCAGCAATCCATTTTTGAAAAAAATATTACCAGCAATCCATTTTTGAACGAAAAATTACCAGCAATCCATTTTTGAACGAAAAAATAATACCAGCAATACATCTTTGGAAAAAATATTACCAGCAATAAAAATCTTGTCCGCATTAAATAACTCATTGAGGCGTTGATATGCCGTAAAACAAAGCAAACCAACAAACACTCTAATTTGTGAGAATTAGCCGTGATTTAAAAGCAAATCTCTCGGTAAAATTCTTGTAAAAATATGCAATAAATATCAAGAATATAGAAAAAAAGAGCAAAAACAAACTCTCGATTATAACGATATACAGGTTTAAATAGGACAATTAAAGCAGTTGCTTAAATCACTCCAACCGAATTCTGTGAATATTTCTTTTTAGCATATTTGGGACAGGTCTGTTTTTAATAAGCGACTGTAATTCAACCTCGTGCGGCAGTTTCCGAATCCACCCTTGGCAGGTCACTGTGTGAACATGCGATATTTATAACATTTAACGAGGCAGAAGCACTTATCCTCGGGGAGAGGGGGGCTTGCTGTTATTTAACTCGAGAAAAATGAAATAGCAGTCCAATTCTCTTGAAATAAAATTTAAAAGAAAAGATTCCAGTTTGTTATTTTGGAGAAAAAAATAAACCACAGCGAGTGTAACCGAGAACTGTAACAACACCTCCCACACAATGCAATATATATATATATATATATATATATATATATATATATATATATATATATATATATATATATATATATATATATATATATATATATATATATGTTAAACTAACAAATCCGTTGGTATATAATCCAAGTGGATCCAAGTAATATAAAATATTAAAACTAATCCACCAAAAGAGAGCTAAGTGTATTTTTTATTACAGGGTAAATAATTAATAAACAATAAAATCCCAAATCACCTCATATTGGGAATAGCCTATTTTGGCTTACGAATAAATCAGTCGTCTGTTTTATCAACTCCTGTGTGGACTGAGTTCGTGTCAGATATAGAAATTTAACTGTGAAAGCTGAAAAAAAAAACACCCCCCCCAAAAAAAACCCCAAAAAACAAAACAAAACAAAACAAAAAAAACAACTTGTTGAAAAACTAATACAGAATTTATTCATTTCAATGTTTCAGTCAGGCAAAAGGCACAAGACAGGCGTCAGAAGAGGGTGGAAGGTATTTGTCTTAAAGAGAGGAAGTTTTATAAAATTAAACCAGAATATGAACTTTTTGACATTAATTTGAGGGTTATACAAAGAATGAAATATTAATTTTAAATTAAAAGAGGAATAAAAAGGGGTTTAAAAATAACTTTAAAATATATACATAAAAGCATGTAAGGGAATAATGGAAAGAGAGTTGTGAAGATCTTATATTATATATATATATATATATATATATATATATATATATATATATATATATATATATATATACACGCGCGGGTTGCTACGTAAGTAACGCCTTCTATTTTTATATTTTAGTCGATGCTAGAAAGGCGTTGACATTTGTTGTTATGGATGTAGAGATGTTGAAGTTTGCATCAATAATCCCTAAAGTCTTTTGCCTTGTTACATATGTGGAAGAAATATTAGAGCCATTCGCACCCATCGATAGTAGCTGGATGTCAGTATATGAGTGAGAAAGAGGCAAAAAGAAATCATACGCAAATATGGCCTCTCCATGATAGAAAGAACGAAAGAAAGAGAGAGAGGGAGTATGAAAAAAAAAAGCGGGGTAGTGAGTGAGAAAGAAAAAGAGAGAGGGTATGTAAGAGAGAGGAGAGAGAGAGAGAGAGAGAGAGAGAGTAAAGGAGAGAGAGATTGAGAGAGAGAGAGAAAAAAGAGGGAATAGACGTGAGACAGTAAGAGAGAGCGAGTAGAGAGAGAGAAAAAAATTGAGAGATTGAGAGAAAGAGAAAGGAAAGGGAGTAAGAGAGAAAGAAAGAAGGAATGTGAGCGAGAGAGGAAAAAGAGGAAGAGTATGAGAGAGAGAGAAGAAGAGGCAGTGAAGGACAGGGCGTGTAAGAGACGGAAGAGAAATAGAAAGGGAGGGCGAATAAGGGAGGAATTGAGAGAGAAAAGACGAAGAGATTTGGAAAGGAAATAGCACTCTCTTGATTTTCTTTCACCCTGAGACAGAAAGAGTGAGAGAAGTATGAAAGAGAGAAAAAGAGAGAGAGAAAGAGACAATAAAAAATAGAGAATAAGAGAAAGGGAAAGAGAGGGAAAAAGGAAAAAAGGGAGGGAGAGAGTGAAGTTGTGGGTTTGTATAATGGACTATGAGAGAAAATGATAAAGAAAACTTATGAATCATCAAGAGTAAAATTTAATGCATCATCCATTTGAGGTCGACTATTCTAATTAATTCCTTTTTTTCTTTTGTTTCCCATGTCTCTAATTTCATTGTTTACTCAATCTATTCTTCATCCCTTTTCGCTTTCACATCATGTCTGACATTCTTTCTGAGTTTCTTCCATTGTTTCTTTCATTCATAGATTATGAAGACATATTAGTTTTCAGCTCCCACACCGATTAGAATAAGACTTCAATGCTTTGGGGGCAGAATAAACGCACCATAGGAATCGATATTTCAGCAACAATTCATCATGGCAGTTTATCTGTCTATATCTCTGAGATGAGGTATTATGATTACTTGCATTATTTACATTATTCAGACTGTTATCCTCATCTTTATTGCCATATTCTCGACGTTTCGGACGTTGTATGCTCCAGCCTTCGTCAGGATGTGTCTGTATTTTTGAAATGTAGTATTTTAATTATTTAAATTATTTACATTGTTCGGACTGTTGGCCTGATCTTTATTGCCATATTCCCGACGTTTCGGCTTTTGTGCACTCCAGCCTTCGTCAGGATATGTCTATATTTCTGAAATGTGGTATTTTAACTATTTACATTGTTTAGACTGTTGGCCTGATCTTTATTGCCATATTCACGACGTTTCGGCCGTTGTGCACCCCTGCCTTCGTCAGGATATGTCTATATTTCTGAAATGTTGTATTTTAATTATCTACATTATTTACATTGTTCGGATTGTTGTCCACATATTTATTGCCTTATTCACGACGTTTCGGCTGCTGGAGGCTTCGGCCTTCTTTAGGATCTGTCTATATTTCTGAAATGAGGTATTTTAATCGTTTGCATTATTTGCATTATTCGGACTGTTATCCTCATCTTCATTGCCATATTCACAACGTTTCGGCTGTTATACGCTCCGGCCTTCTTCAGGAGAATATTAATACGTCATTCATTTGAGGTCGACTATTCTAATTAATTTCTTTTTTTTTTGTTTCTCATGCTTCTAATTTCATCGCTTATTCAATCTGTTATTATTCGATAATGAAAAAATTTATTCACATATATTTGTATGACATTATTAAATATGTAAAAATATTATTTTTACATATTTGACAGATATTAAATATTAAAAAATATTCTTAGATATTTCACAGATATTATTAGACATATAGAAAATATTATTTGTAAACATTTTACAGATATTATTAGATACTGAATATGTTATTTTTGTATTTTTTCAAAATTTATTAGATTTTGAAATTTTTAGATATTTGACAAATATTATTATATACTGAAAAATTTTATTTTCAGATGTTCGACTCAGAACACTTTTTTGTTAATTTCTTGATCACTAATTTTTCATCAAAGGATCCTTTTTATAGATTCCAACTCTGTGCAGATATATTCTTGTCGCTTGCTACAAGATCTTCTGTGTAGATTATTTAGGCACACTTTGAATAAGAGAATTGTCTGGATCGGTATAGCGAATCAAAAAACATTCAGATAAAAATAATATTGAATTATGAAATATTTATTCATCCTGTAGAATTAAAAAATATTTCCCAATATTTATATATATATATATATATATATATATATATATATATATATATATATATATATATATATATATATATATATATATATATATATATATATATATACTAAATCTAAAAAAGCCAGACAAACCTACCTAAGTTTCACCTATGCGGATCGTCAGGGTAAACTGACCATTTCACCCTGACGATCCGCGTAGGTAAAACCTAGGTAGGTTTGTCTGGCTCTTTAGGTTTATTTAGTTGCTCTACTTAGCGCATTGAGCACTTTGTTTAGTTATTTCTACTTTACTCGCGTCGGAGGTTTTTTTCTTTGGACTCTGAACTTTGATTCTAGACGATTATGTTAACCGGAAATACATGTTCTTAGTTCTTTCTTTTTTTTTACCCTTTTTTTTTCTTGGGTATTGGTTTGTTCATTTACAAGCTAAAACACCTAATGTTTTGCCGGACAAGTATAGCTGCTTATATTTATAATATTATTAGTAATATATATATATATATATATATATATATATATATATATATATATATCAACAAACATAATAATAAAAATAATATGACAAAAACTTTTTTCCAATTCGTCATAACATTTTTATAAATACTGTTTGTCGATATATGAAATTATACAAAATCATATCTATCTATCTATCTATCTATCTATCTATATATATATATATATATATATGATGATTATGGGGAGCTGTAGAAAAATAATCAGTATCAACAAAACAAAAATACAGGTTTCAAAAAGATGTGACCATTTAAGTAATGTCACTCTATTTTAATACTCGGGTAGCGTAAAGGAAAGCGAAATCTGCAGGTTGAGTTTAAATCCATTTCACTCTTGATTTGTTCACTTTGTACGTTAACTAATTTAAGAGAAGGAAAAGCATGTATTCAGACCTGGGGAGAAGCCAATACGAAACAACTCTACTATCGTTTCTAACATAATTATGTCAATTCGCAGTTACTACAGAAAAAGATGCTGCGGAGAGACATGAATCTCTACTTCCTGAAGCAACATAGCATTTGTAAAAAAAAGAATGACTTTAGTTCAATCCCGCCCTTTCAAGATCAGAAGAGCTGATGGAGGGTGAGTTTTTAGCATTCACAGAGGCATCAACGAGATAGTCGGTTTCTGAAAGTAGTGGTTGTTGGGAAGAATTGCCTTTAACCAAATGGAATACGAAGAGAATAAGGGTGATTCGAACCTGTGTGCATAGCATGACGGGTCTCAGCTGTCTGTGAACTAGTGGAAGTAGATTGAGTTCGACCCAAGGCAAAGAGAGTTCAGCCTGTCCTGTTGTTTAATCCATAGTTCGAGGAAGAATCAGTAGGCTCATGTATTTAATGACGAGCTCGAAGTGAACGCAGCTGTTTCGGGCGGAATTTGAACCCGTCCTGCAGATTCGCTCCTTTTTCAGTGCCAATAATTGTCTGGCCGCCAGCACATTATTAATTAAACAATCTAAAATAGAATTTTGTCTTTGAGAGAGGAAGTTTTTTTTGTGAATCAAGTATAACCGATATGTTGTCTCATCAAGTTCGCCCAAATTTGAAAGTTGCCTAAATTGAAAGCGAATATCAAAAACTAATTGAGAAGCAATTAGGATAACAGAACAAACACCTGCGTCCCTGTCTGCTGTGCTGATGGATTCAAAACCTATCTTCCTCACTCCCACCAATGAAGCAATATTGAAACCTTTTCTTTATTGGTTAAAAAAGAAATGAAGATCTATAATAGACTATTAAGCAGTAATGAGAAAAAACTGACGTGAAATATTAATCAAAAAAATTAACTATACCATCTTTAATTTAATATAATAAATAAGCTTTTAAAAAATAGCGAGAAAAGTAAATACTTAAAGCCGAATTACAGAGACTACACAAAGCATTTGATAAGGTACGCCACAAAGACTGCATAATGTATTTGTATGCCACAAAGATCTCTTTACAAAGACGTATTACATAGACTGCACATAATGTATTTGATAAGGTGCGCCATTAAAATCTTTTTACAATGACGTATTACATTGACTGCACAGAAGCCTTTGATAAGATACCTCAAATATCTATTTACAAAGACGTATCACATAGGCTGTACAAAGCATTAGATAAGGTACGTCAAAATATCTATTTACAAAGACGTATTGCATAGACAGCACAAAGTATTTGATAAGGTAAGACAAAATATTTACTTACAAAGACCTATTACATAGACTGCACAGGAGCATTAGATAAGATACGTCAAAATATCTATTTACAAAGACGTATTGCATAGACAGCACAAAGTATTTGATAAGGTAAGACACAAATATTTACTTACAAAGACGTATTACATGGACTGCACAGAATCATTGGATAAGTTATGATAAAAATACATATTTGAACTGCTACGAAAACTTTGTTCATCTTTCTTTTTACATAGACTATCGTAAGAAATTCCCTTAAACTCACACACTATTTCATGAATCGTTCTTGAACACTCGCTATACTGTTGCATTTTAGAATAAAATTTTTCTATCTCACTTTGTTTAGTTTTCTTTGTTTATTTCTTCTAAGCAACTTAAGATGTGTAAAAAAGACTTTCGTTATCACAGGACAACTTCTTTTTTTTAATTAATATTTCACGTCAGTTTTTCTCATTACTGCTTAATAGTCTATAATAGATCTTCAAAAGGCCACATAACAATACGTTTTTGAGAAAAAGAAATCCTGATATAAATGTTTTCTTTTAAATAATTCTATATCCACAATGTCATTGAAATCACCAAAATTGTTGAAATTCAAAGAATACGACGTCAAAATGTAGACCGTTTGTCTTGCCAAGAAATAAGACGAAAGAAAACTTAGCCACAAAACCTTTGCCAATTGTACATATTCAAAGCAAAACCTAAAATTTTCAATTTACTTATTTTTCTCTTATTATCTCGAATGTTTTATTAATCTAAAATTAAAATTATAAATTTATTTCTCTTCGAAATTACGTTGATTGTTTGATAAGAAAGATCTCCAGTCCTATAAAATAAGTTCGAGATCAGATCAAATAAGGAATCTGATTTCAAATCTGAATCTGATTTTTTTTAAATTGCTAAAATAGTTCAGTAAGATATCAATCGTATAAAATTTTAGACCAGTTAAAATAATGAAAACGGCTTCAGAATGAAAATGTATTGATCTTTAAAGTTACGATATTTGATTGATAAGTAATGTCTTCAAGCGTATAAAACTTTGTATCAGCTAAAATGATAAAACCGGTTCCAGAATAAAAAAAAAAATGTTGATCTTTAATTTTACGATGGTTAATTGAGAAGCAAGGTCTTCAAGAGTTTTAGATTTTATACCAACTTGAGTAATGAAACCAGTTTCAGAATGTAAATTTATTGATCTTTAAAATTACGTAAGTAATGTCTTCAACCGTATTAAACATTATATCAGCTAAGATTATGAAACCAGTTTCAGAATTTAAATTTATTGATCTTTAAAATTACGGTAGTTGATTGATAAGTAAGGTCAGCAATCGTATAAAATTTTATACCAGCTCGAATAATGAAACCGGTTTAAGAAGGAAGTAATTTACTGTAAGTTTTTTTCTCAAATATTTTCTCCATTTTTACTTTCCATAAATGAAGAAAGATTCTAGCTTACTTTTGATCCATTTATCTACAGAAACTTCAACTTTGGTATCGGGTGGAAACACGAGACCAAACAAAAGTGTTTGGGTTGGAAAGTTGCTATAGGTATTCTTATCCATCTTGTAAAGGATATCCTGGGCTGTACATCAGCTGATATGGTTTTTGTCACATCATTAACCTTACCTAGTCAATTTTGTGATGTCAACTCAGAGATTTTACCCACAATATTTGAACAGGGCTTAAAAAAAACAGAATGTCAGAAATTACCTTTTACATCTACGCGGAAAACCATATACCTACCAAATGATTTTTACACCTGCAAATATATGTGTTGTTCATGATGACGGTCGTCTTTGAATATAGAATCCAGAGGTTAGCAGTGAATATTTCGAAGACAGTAGGGAAGCGTAGTTCAGGTTAGTAGTGGATATCCCGGTAAAAGTAGCAGAGCGTAGTTCTTCCTTCTGTTCCTCTTTGCCTGACAAGCTGGCACTGGACATTCGGAGAGAGTAAACAAAATGGCCGCCTTTATACACGACGGATTGAATATTCTACGTCTTCTGATTGGTTAACCTTCTATTGGTGGACTATAAAGTGAGTCAAGTCATCTGGGTTGGCTCACTAGTAGTGTAATGTAGCCCAAAATTGTAACAATATGTTTATAAGAAATGGTGTCAAAGACCTTTGAGTCTAAACTACATCGGCTCATAGTAAGTTATCAGCAAAATGACAAGTAAGGCACCATCGAAAAGAAAAAATGAAAACACAATAATATCGCCATCGACTGGATTAAAGCGGATTATATCGATAAGCAGTTCTTACAATAAACTGAAAAGCGTGATCATTCACCCTTTAAATCCTACACAAAAGACGAATAAACAAACATTCACTAAAGCAAATGACTCTTAATCAAATACCACAACAGAGAAGAATACATTATTTACATTATTCAGACTATTGTCCTCATCTTTGCCGCCATATTTATTACAATGTTTCGACCGTTGTACGCTCCGGCCTTCTTCAGGTGGTTGGAATAGTCCGAATAATGTAAATAATGTACATAATACCTCATCTCAGAAATATAGACAGAAAGAGAAGAATATTACTAAGTACGTTAAATACAACATTGCAAATTTTAGATGTTGAAGCATTATATTTACATATCACTAGAAATAAATTTCTAATGATTGTGGGTAGGGGTCTTTGTCGTGTCCATAAAAAATAATAACAATTATAGCGTCAAAAATATCTCAAAATTTCTCTTTTGCTTTTATCGGCCGAGCATTTTTTTCATTCGTCGACAACTGGGAGAGGACGCTCAATTTTTGCATATCAAAATACTTTTATGGTGACTCCTGTGACTGACTTGTTTTTAAAATATTTCGTTTTCAGCATGTCATGCGGAATACGTGACCCCCACTTTATTTTTGGTAAGTAATTTTCTTTTTCTCCACGTTTTCCGTCGTAGAATACAGGCGACACGCTGTCGCTTGGTTTGACGAGGTATGTCGCCGTTTTCTTCGCTATACTAAAGCAAAGAGAATAGACCTCACTTTTCTACACAGGCAAACACGTGACATCCTCATTATCAGACAGGCAGTAAACGACCCTTTTCCTTTTTCAAGGCACAATGATAACATTTGTCTCGTAATAATCATAAAAAATTCTTGGAAAGAAAACTCTAGACACTTCTTTTATTTTACAACTAAATAATCAGGACACTCATTAACACACATGTATAAAAAACATATTAACAATTACTTTGTACACTTTATTCGTTATTCATCTCATTTTATCGGTGTTACTCAGTATTACTTTCTTTCGTATTTTCAACGTAATTATATCATAAATAATACTCATCTTGTTCTTTTTGCGTCTTGCTGTTTCAAATTTTCTACGAGTATTTTTGTATACATATATGTTAGGGAATTTATAATTATTTACTCCCTGTTATTTATAAAATTTATAAAGTTATAATTATTTATAATTATTTACTCCTAGTTATAACTTCCCTGTGGTACCGGGTAAAAAAAAATTAACAGTTCAACGGCTTTTTCATTCTCTGAAATAAACGAAAATCTGAATTGACACAATCGAAACTGTACATAAAAGCGTACGTTTGCTCGTTTTTATTGGGTTAGCGAAAGATGCCTTCCAAAAGTTAAGCAATGTATAAAGAAACGGAAAAAATTCGTTAGAAACAAGCACAAAAGTACTTAAATGATACTTGATATCAGTTCACATATGGCAGTGAATGTTGGACAATCCTCGCACTGATGAAGAAGAGACTTAATACAGCAGGAATTTGGCTCTACAGAAAGATGCTGAGGATATAATGGGCCTAATATGTGAGCAATAACGAAGCTTTAAAGAAGATGAGAACGAAATGGATGCTTGTGATGGGAATTCTGAAAGAGAGAGTTGAAATTTCTAGGGCATATAATGGGGAAAGGAGGCTTGGAGAATCTGATGCACACAGGACAGTTTGAAGGCAATAGGGGGAGTGGTAAACAACGTATAACCCGCTTAGCGAGCTTGGATGGCAGAAAAGTATTTAAGAAAGATAACAAAAAGACAAAATTTATTAAGAGCTACAAAGGTCAGGAAATTGTGAAGAGCCATGATTACCAACATCCTGAATACTAATGCGTCATCCATTTGAGGTCGACTATTCTAATTAATTTCTTTTTTTTTGTTTCTCATGCTTCTAATTTCATCGCTTATTCAATCTGTTATTATTAGACAATTAAAAAAATTATTCTCATATTTTTGTAAAACATTATTAAATTTGTAAAAATATTATTTTTACATATTTGATAGATATTATTAAATATTAAAAAATATTCTTAGATATTTGACAGATATTGCTAGACATAGAAAATATTATTTGTAGACATTTTACAGATATTATTAGAGTCTGTCTATATTTCTGAGATGAGGTATTATGTACATTATTTACATTATTCGGACTATTGTCCTCATCTTTGTCGCCATTTTTATCACAACGTTTCGGCCGTTGTACGCCCCGGCCTTCTTCAGGTGGTTGGAATGTCGAACTGAACTCTTTATTTCGCTCACTGGGGTAGACTGTTCTAGTTCCACGTGCCATGTTTGATGGATGTCAGTTGTCAGTTATCTGGCACGTGGAACTAGAACAGTCTACCCCAGTGAGCGAAATAAAGGTTCAGTTCGACATTCCAACCACCTGAAGAAGGCCGGGGCGTACAACGGCCGAAACGTTGTGATAAAAATGGCGACAAAGATGAGGACAATAGTCCGAATAATGTAAATAATGTAGATATTATTAGATTTTGAAATATTTTTATATTTTTTCAAAATTTATTACATTTTGAAATTTTTAGATATTTGAGAAATATTATTATATATTGAAAAATTTGAAAATTTGAAAGAATTTAAAATTTTCAAAATGAAGGAAATAGATGAGGAAAGAAGACCATGTGCTGTCATAATGCAGAATGAAACTCTTTTAGGTACCGTTCCCTTAGTAGGTTGTCGAAGTGCTCGTAAAGTTTCATTGCGTTCTTTCATATGTGAATTTCGATAAACATGATAACAACGAGTGCCAAAATTTCTCTCGA